AATAATACTCACCACACGCGATTGCTCCTTCAAGTGCGAAAGCACCATGTAATCATTAACGTCCAGGCTAAAAGAAAAGCAGCGATTAAACATGTACACCAAGTTGGCGGTGAGTCCTTCCATCGCCAACGTTGCAAAGGTTGCGCATTCCCCATCACTTTCGCGCAACATTAACTCGAGTGCATGCGCACGGAGAGAAACTTGCCAACGAACCCCCTCAAAGTTTCCATTTGATGCACTACCGCCAGCATCGGAAAGGCTTTCCACCTCACTCTCGGGAATGCCAAACTCCTTGGCAATGGCGAGGCGTTGCGCAGCTGTCCAACGCTCTGCATTCACAAGCTGAAACATTTCTTCAATCTCTGCCTGAATATCGGGAGTTTCCTCGCCAACCGGATCACCCGCATTCTCTTCCTGGGTGTTCCGCGTTTTTGAAAAGAATAACCAACTCCACCAACTTGAACGGCGTTTCCCGTCTGTGTGGGCGACATCCATGGCGGGCTGCCCGTTTGGCTCTTCCCCCATCTCTCCAGATTTCCCTTCGGCTTCTTCTTGTTGCTGATTTTTTTTTTGCCGTCGCCTTTCCAACAGTGTCTCCCTCTGTTCCCGCTCTAGATGCGTTCTATGGTAGGCGAGTCGACGTGCTATTTTGATGGACTCCATCGGCAGTTCCATCTCCAAATCTTGGAGTCGCGTTTTCTCTTCCATTGTAAGTTCTGTAAGCCAGTTGGCCTCCAGTTGTCTTCGCCTGTCGCGTTTGAACAGTGTCATGTACTCTTCTCTCGCCGCTTTGAGGCGTTTGTATTTTTCCCACACAAAAACGCGGCGTTCTCGAACCCGCCTTATACGATGCAGAATTACCTGAATGGCGTATGCCCACCAGGCGCGCGCATTGTCGGTGGGCCTTTTCTTTTCGGCGCCCACGGGCCGAAAGTGACGCAGTACATCATACTCTTCTCCGTCACGTGCCTCGCGCCACAAGGCAAGAAGTATTGCCCATTCCTCACGAGATAACACAGCACGCAAACGATCCACGTGCAGTTCAATGCGGAACGTCGGAAGGTCGGCGCGGTATGGCACCGGCTGGTACTGCACAAAGGCCATTGCACTAAAGGGTGAAATAATGCGATGGCACCGCGCTGGTAGACTCTGCCGTAACGTTGATGGTGTTGTTTTCCTAGACAGTCCTCTAATGACGCCTAATGATGCCTCTTCCGTATCCTGTATGGTTTCGGCTGCATAATTGTCATCGCTGCATCCAGATCTTTGCATGGAAAAGGTGGTGGCGTTGAGAAGAACCCGCACCCCCTCCAGCACCACCTTCTTGTACAACACCCTCTCCTTTGCTGCGGTGAAGTGCGGAGCAAAGTTTTCATCACACGCATACGTTCGAAAATTATCCAATACAATAGAAAAAGAATGATAGTCCTGACCCACAAGTTGATCCGTCCCTGCATCTACACCCCCTCCAGATGCATAGCAGCCTTCATATTGTACAACGACATCCTTCAACATCAGTTGAACATTGTTCAGTATGACGGCCTTTAGACGTGCTGCAAAAGTGACATCCTTCTGTGCTTCCAAAAATGCCTCCTCCTCTTCCTCTAGTACGCCTTCTGTGGGAACTCCATTGTGGGCTACTGGAGTTGTCTCCATCTTCGTATCTCCTGCAAGTTCTTGTTGAAGCAGCGCCTCAAACAGGTTCAGTTGGTGCAGCTTGCGTTCATACGCTTCTTGTTTTTCACGTGCCGGATCATACCCGGCAGCCGTCTTTTGCCGCAGCAAAACACGGACCTTTTTTACTTCCACCACTACGCACTCCGAATGCAGGCGCGTCCATGGAACAATAACCGTCAATTCATCAATGTAACCTTCCTTTACACACACCGCAGTATCAAATGCCCGCAGAGCGTCCCTACGGAAGCGCAGATTCCTCAAACTCACATGCCCACTCCACAATGAGACCTTCACTTGCTCTCTGTTCACGTTTTCAAAGTAATTCCCCAAGTATGTCGTGACGAGACCCGCCACAAATTTGTCAAACATGATGGATAAAGTAAAAACCCAGAAACTCTCACTTCCTCTCGCTTTATATATATATATATAATCACACAAACAAATAAACAAAAGCACACGCAAAGGCCAACACACACAAAAAAAAAAACTGTTTTTCCAAGAGTGTTTCGTTACCTCAGCGCACAGTTAATATTTGTTTAGCACTTTGGCTGGCAGGCAGCGACTGTTTCAAGCAAACAAGCACGATAGATGCAGCTAAGTATAAACACACGTGTCAACATACAAATATATATATATATATATATCTGTGCCTGCGGGTTTGCATGCACATAAAGATTTCAAATGTGTGTGTGTGGATGTCCGTGGAACAGATGAAATGAAAATGAATACCGCCGCTTCACGTTTTCCTCTTGTGTCCAACTCCCTCGGACGAATATTACCAGCCGGAACAGTCCCGCCCTTCCCCCCTGTTTCTAAGTGTGTGCCTGCCTCCTTCACAGCGGTAACAATGCACCCTGCCTCACTCGGTGATGTGAGCGTGGCTGCTCTGTCAGCAACCGGAGAGAAAAAGTGGGGAATAAAAAAAAAAAAAAAAGAAGAAAAAAACAACAACAAAAACAAATGCCACAGTTGTGACATTCATATACAAGCACAAAGTGAGAGAGAAGAAAAAAATATATAAAATAACATCACGGTCCAATATAAATAAAAAATAAAAAAAGAAAAAGAGGAACATCCTAATATAATAAATAAACAGGCAAAAATACATACATACGACCGTATTTATATATAAATATATCCATACATTATATAAGATGGGAATTGTTCACGTGCATCCCTCCACACACATAAGGAAAAGAAAAAAAAACCGCTGGCAAAAATAAACTCTTGTAATTTCATTTTATTCAGAAGGAGGATTCAAATGGTGCTGAAAAAACAATAAACCAATAAACGAGTTCCGCCGGCTTGAGTTCCTTCAGTGTCTTTCCTCGTTTTCGTAACTTTTCCCCCTCAACCTCCCCTTGAGAAATTGACGGCTGGTCAATCCATACTGACCCGTTATGCATCATTCGCTCAAGCACAGCCTGAACGCGGTGCGGACGCCACATCAGACGGGCTTCGAGCTCATCTTGCGTAAACGCAACACATTGAACATGAAAAGGGACATCTGCCGTCCCAGTTTCGACGTCCTTCTCACTCTCCACTGAGTCATGATGCCGAGCGGGGGCAAATAGAATGCGGGAGGCACCCACACGGTTGGAAGGGCCAAAAATGGGCGCCACATTTTCACAAGGACGTTCATCCCCTACTCGAGTGGAGTGATACTTCAAAATCTGTTCTGCACGTTTCTTTAGCACAGTGTCTAACAGCGGCGCGTCATCCGCGCTCCGCGTTCCATCAGGCGTGGTCTGGATGTAATTCACACCAGCAAGTTTCACCACGTTGTAGCCATCCCCTAACACATGTAGTTTTTCCAAAGCCATGCGAATATCGGACTCCGTGATGTCACAGCGCTTACCATCCTTCCCTGCGGACTCATACTGTCGCTTCATAATATAGACAATACGATTCAGCGGAACATAAGAACCGCAGAATTTCCGCTCCCGCATGCACGCTTCCACAACTTTGCTTGCCAATCCATAGTAGAAGTCCCCCAGGCCCAAAATACCCGCAAACACATTCTTCTTTGAGGAAATAAGATCAATGCCAAGAGAGTCGGCCATCTGCCGGAAGCGCGCACGAACAATAGGATCCGCGTTAATCTCATCCTTGTGCTTACGCGCAAGGGAACGTAACGTTTCCTCAAAACCCTCCAACTGATCCGCTATTTGCCCCACTCGCTCCGCCGTGATTTGTGCCCCCAAGTCAGTCATCTGCCGCTGCGTCTCATTCTTCTTCTGCACGTGCGCCACACCGATACCGCGCCGCATCCCCTGCTGCCGAAACAGACAGTATGGACCTTTTTACTACGCGCCAGGCCGCTCAACACACACCTGGTAATGCGTGGACACCCCACACATTAAAAATACAAAGAATGAACAAAACAAAACACACACACACACACACACACACACACACACACACACACACACACACACACACACACAGACAGAAACAAGAAGATATTAGCCAGCAGAAATCAAAACACACATACACAAAAAAAAAGCTCAAAAAAAAAAAAGTCATAAATTAAGAAAACATACAAAAACAAAAATCACGCAAGTAGACAAAAAAAGAAAAAAAAAAGACGATCCAACAAATTGAAAAGAAAAAAAAAAAAGAAAAAAAACAACAACAGATATCACCATCCGCTTTTCATCGCTTCACACGAATTTGGATACTTCTCCACACGGAAGTGCATCAACAAAAAAAAAAAAGAGGAAAAACCAAACAACAAAAAAGGTACCAATTACTCAGTGTACTAATTAAAGAAAAAAAAATCCACTAAACAAACAGAAAGCAAAAAAGCAAAAAAAAAAAAACCCACTTCCAAGCTAGCGAAAATATAATTATTCACAGAAATGGCATTATCCGCAATAAAACTTGTCGATCTGGATTACATTTGATGCAAACCCATCTGAACCAAAATCGCGTGCAAGCAACATAAAACAATCGATTGCTTTTTTACAAAAATCATCGGACAAAACCGCATTGTGGTATGTCAAAAGAATCTTATCATCACTGATGTCCCACAGTGGGGACTCGGCGGGAAGCGGTTCCCTCTCAAACACATCCACAGAGGCACCACGGATGACGCCATCACGCAGCGCACACGCAAGGTCATCCTCGTTCTGCGTGATGCCGCGGCCAATGTTGATGTACACCGCGCTCGGCTTCATCATGGAGAAGAGCTCTTTGTTAAACAACCGCTTTGTCTCCTCCGTTCCCGGGAGGATGTTGACCACGAAGTCGGATTCACGCAACACACGCTCCCGCTCCGCATCGCCGTGCACAAGACGCACGCCGTACTCGTCCACCTCCTTCGTGGACGCGGACCGCTTCACACCCGTCACCTCCATCCCAAAGGCACTGAGAAGTTTGGCGCTGGCCCGCCCAATGTCGCCGTAGCCAATGATGCCCACCTTCCTTCCACGCAGTTCAACCATGAGGAAGGGGTCCCACTTGTGCTCCGCGCGACTCGCCAGGGAGCGCCACGTCTGCCGGTAGAAGTATAGCATGGAGTACATCACGTGCTCTGCCAGGATGGAGGAGTAGCAGCCTCGTGCGTTTGTTAAAGGAATGTCCTGCAGTTCTTTGACAAGTTCATTCAATTTATAGCTGTCCAGACCAGAAGAAATGCTGTGAATCCAAAGGACACGACGTTGCTCCTTCGGCAGATGATAGTCGTCACAAAGGAACTTGAGTGCTTCTCGACCGGCTTGATTCGCAATGAGAAGAACGATGGGTTCTCCAGATTGCTTTACGTCCATAAAATCTTCTTGAGGGTTTCCATGGCACCGTACCACATGCCTAAATCCACCATACAAGGAGACTTGTTTCATAACTTCATCCACCAAAAACTGCGAAATCGTAGTTGCAACGCAAAGTGTGCAGTCAAACACGTTCATAATTAACCTTGAATATAAAATTAACTTGATTAAGACACACGCAAACACGCAGAACTGCGGATAAAAGGAAAAAAAAAAAAAAGCGTAAAAAGAAAAGTTATAAAAATCACACACAAAAAAAATAAACCACAAACCAACAAAACCACCAACAAAAAATCAACCGCAAAATAACTGACGTGGTGACATTTCAGTGGTATTCCACCAGAAACAGAAAAACTTTCAACGAAAAAAATACAGAGAATAATCTTCCGGGCAGCTGGCCGGATCCTGAAAATCTATGGAACCAAACAAGTTAGGAAAAAAGGTTCGTTAGTTAATTGCTTCAATGTTTTCTTTTCATTCAATATATAGAATTCTGTGGACCACCAGCATGGTCCTTTGTCCTCAGTTAGGATTTGAATATTATTAATTACGAAGTGGCAGGCTTTGGGGTCCTCCAACCACAAGACCCCGCCGCGTGGTGGGAATCAAAGGGGGTGAGTAGGTGGCAAAATAAAAATAAAAATTTATCAGGCATCTATCGGTTCCCGGCACCTACAAAGTCGCATTCTTCCCAAAAGATTCATACGGTAAAAAAGTATCATAAAGAATGCATTCATTTATCAGGGCGCACATACATTAATTAAGTTAGCCAGCTCTCCCGTGATCATTCTTTTCACAAGCTCCTATAAAAAATGCCCTGTCAGCCGAGTGGGCGGTCAAAAGAAGCTTATCATCACTGATGTCCCACAGTGGGGACTCGGCGGGAAGCGGTTCCCTCTCAAACACATCCACAGAGGCACCACGGATGACGCCATCACGCAGCGCACACGCAAGGTCATCCTCGTTCTGCGTGATGCCGCGGCCAATGCTGATGTACACCGCGCTCGGCTTCATCATGGAGAAGAGCTCTTTGTTAAAAAACCGCTTTGTCTCCTCCGTTCCCGGGAGGATGTTGACCACGAAGTCGGATTCACGCAACACACGCTCCCGCTCCGCATCGCCGTGCACAAGACGCACGCCGTACTCGTCCACCTCCTTCGTGGACGCGGACCGCTTCACACCCGTCACCTCCATCCCAAAGGCACTGAGAAGTTTGGCGCTGGCCTGCCCAATGTCGCCGTAGCCAATGATGCCCACCTTCCTCCCACGCAGTTCAACCATGAGGAAGGGGTCCCACTTGTGCTCCGCGCGACTCGCCAGGGAGCGCCACGTCTGCCGGTAGAAGTATAGCATGGAGTACATCACGTGCTCTGCCAGGACGGAGGAGTAGCAGCCTCGCGCGTTCGCGAACGGAATGTCCTGCAGTTCTTTGACAAGTTCACCCAACCGGTAGACATCCACACCAGCAGTGAGTGAGTAGATCCAAAGGACACGACGCTGCTCCTTCGGCAGATGATAGTCGTCACACAGGCATTTGGTTGCACCGTGACCGAGCGGGCTAAATATCGCCTGCAGGATTTTCGCTTCCCCACACCTTCACTGCCTTTGGCTCCACAAAAGGATCAGGCACGCCTAGTACAGCCATGGAAAAGTGCTGTGTTCAGATCAAATCCTGAAAGAGGCTTGCCCGTCCTACAATGCCTGAGTACATGAAGAAAAACAAGGAGGATTTCCCCCCTTTACAGACCCCTTCGGCATGCTCTTTCTTGTGTTATTAAGCACTCGTAAGAATTGTTACAAAACATAAAAATCCTAATTATTCAACAAGAAAAATCATAAACGCGACAATACCAAAAAAAATCTCATTGATCGCCTCAAAACAATAGAAATCACTGCACTCAAAACCAAAAAAGGGAACCGCACGCTAACAAGATTTCCCTTCTCACCTTGTAAAAAAACACGAATATTCACATTATTAAAACACAAATGAACAAAAGAAAGTAAACCTTCATTGTTCACCTTCGCCTCTTTGAGCGGCAAGAAAAGACAAAGATGGGATCACACAGAAGAAATGCTCACAAAACCACAAAGCAAAAAGCACATAAAGAAACAGCAAACACACAAAATAGGACATACGTTCAACAATTCCCCAAAGTAAACAATCACTAAACACCAATGTTGTTCTTGAGACAATCCCCTCCCTCTCATGAGTCATGCGCAGTGAATGCAGACACAACAACGGAAAGGACGCAGTCCTAACACAATCATCTACCTGCAAACCCCGTCGAGCTACTCTGAAACAAACAAACAAACAAAAACCCATTCCCATTCCTCCCACCATACTTTAAATATGCTACAAAAAAAAACAAAGACAAAAATGAACGATATTTTCCTTACAAATAAATTACTCCACAAACCTATGTAGCACGGCAGGAGACACGTGCTTCGGTCCTTCCCCACATTCCCGTCTCTAGTACCCACGCACCGGGTCCACAAGGTAGGTATCGAGCCGCTTCGTCTTTGCGTACTCATTGACCAGGCCAATGAAACGGCGAACAGAATCAGGGACCAAATTGGCTGTCCTGTCAGCCGAGTGGGCGGTCAAAAGAAGCTTATCATCACTGATGTCCCACAGTGGGGACTCGGCGGGAAGCGGTTCCCTCTCAAACACATCCACAGAGGCACCACGGATGACGCCATCACGCAGCGCACACGCAAGGTCATCCTCATTCTGCGTGATGCCGCGGCCAATGCTGATGTACACCGCGCTCGGCTTCATCATGGAGAAGAGCTCTTTGTTAAAAAACCGCTTTGTCTCCTCCGTTCCCGGGAGGATGTTGATCACGAAGTCGGATTCACGCAACACACGCTCCCGCTCCGCATCACCGTGCACAAGACGCACGCCGTACTCGTCCACCTCCTTCGTGGACGCGGACCGCTTCACACCCGTCACCTCCATCCCAAAGGCACTGAGAAGTTTGGCGCTGGCCTGCCCAATGTCGCCGTAGCCAATGATGCCCACCTTCCTCCCACGCAGTTCAACCATGAGGAAGGGGTCCCACTTGTGCTCCGCGCGACTCGCCAGGGAGCGCCACGTCTGCCGGTAGAAGTATAGCATGGAGTACATCACGTGCTCTGCCAGGACGGAGGAGTAGCAGCCTCGCGCGTTCGCGAACGGAATGTCCCGCAGTTCTTTGACAAGTTCACCCAACCGGTAGACATCCACACCAGCA